CCGACATTTGCTCAGGCGACTTTACTCCTGGCTACATTTCGTCAAAGATGCAGGGTTATGGTTGTGATTGGGCTTTAGATGACGTTTATGGTTAGGTTTCGCGTTAAGATTCAGTGTTAGGTTTAGTGTTAGATCTAGTGTTGAAGCTGTTAAAACTCGACTGGCGTAGGAAAATGGCCGCGGAAAAAACCTGTGGCAATAATTTTATTGATATACTTGTCATCATTCAAGACGATATTGATAATAAACTTCATAATTTTTCGCTATCATACGAGCGACATCCCTCTATCAAAGATATATGTCCGCTAGAGGTTGCGACCTCGTAAATTACATCTTTCGTCATCAAACAATCTATGACGTCGCCCGAGACCACGGAATTCCATCACTCATCGTCAGTCTCATCCATAATCCCGACAAATTGGTTCTGAAATAACACAACGAGCTCGTCAAAATTACCCGACGAGGGAGTGCTCGTTTAGAAAATGAGCCTCTGGGGATAGAAGACAAACGATTATTTTGAAATCTGAAACGGCCCCTTTATCTAGAAAAAGAAATAGTTCGGAGGGTGAACTGATTATAGGTATATCTCATATTTTGCAATGTCTATTAAATTTGAACGTATAAGCATATTTGGTCGATCTTCAACAGATCAAATTGAAATGGAGGCTAAATTTGATTTGAGGTTTTATTTGAGGTTTTAATGAAATATCTTTGAAATAGTGAGACTATATTTCATGATGTTAATAATTCGCACATTGGATTGTTGGAAATGCATATTTTTTTTTTAGTTGAATTTGTTTTAAAAATTAAAAATCAATGGAAAACAAAGCAACGGATTACATAACACGTTCTTCCGGCCGGAAATAAGTTTAGAAAATGCTGTTTGACATTTGCAAAGGCATACAATTCTGTAAGTTTCATCATTCTTATATATCCGAAATTTTCAAAGATCTAACACCTTTTTTTGCATTATGTAGTTATTCCTATGGGGTCCAACACGAATGTTCGGGCAATTACCGAGTAGATTTGACGTTGTTTTTGTTGGTTTTAAACACGAAACAATGATTTAAAAAAACCCTTCATTCCACTATTTGTCAGGATTGTTATCGTCTGCCCTGATAGGTTCATTTCGGGTCACTTACATTTTGGAATTTTAGATCACTTGCCAACTACAAGTGCGATCAAGGAAGGAACCGTTTACTATCCTAGTGCATCCTAGATTTAAAAAAAGAGGATTGTATCCACAGGAAATCAACATAAATACGAACGACGCCCTTTCCTCCGAAGATTTCCGATCGCGACGTCCAACGAGCTACTGATATCCTAGATGTCGTCCGGGAGATTTTCAGTAAATCTCCAAGAGTTCGATTTGCGGTTAGAAAAGCAGAAATAATGGGTTCGTTTTGTGCGGCAGGGGTAAATATTTAGGTTAGGATATTTTCCGTAATGTTGTCTTTTTCCGAGGTTGGATTGTATTTCAGATGTGCGCGAAGGAAAGATCTAAGCGATCCTGGCCCGAATCCAGATCGTTTGTTCCATTTGAATATTCTGTTGGAGTAAGCTTTCATCGAATGCTCTGGTAACAGTTGTGTTTGGCGAGGTTGCTCATGGCACGTTTTTACTTTGTTGTTATCACGTGTCGTTTCTGGCGACTTGATTATATTATTGGTGTAAGTCTGTAAGAACTCCTTGTCAAACTGTCATTAGTGACATAATATTGATGATTGAGGGGTCTGACCTCAAAGCTAACAATTACAACTTTGTAAAACGATTGAGTATCCTCGGCACTTTTTAATTAGTTCTAGAATATTCTTTGCATTATGTCCGTTATCTTGAAATGTCAAATTACATATATTTTCATAAATTACATATATTTTCATAAATTAGATTTATGAGAAGCTCTCAACAGGAAAACATGTAAGGTCTAAAATTTGGCCTTTCTGTCTGACTGTCAAGCACATATTACGTAATTTATCCTAGAAAAATATGACAAGGTCAAACATGTTTAAAAGAATTAGAGGAGAAAAAGAAGACACGGGGATGGAAAATGAGAGATAGCGTATGCGAGGAGCGAAGGTATAAAAAATGGAAGAGGTGTTGGAATGAAAAACGATGGGGAGAATGATGACACAAGGATGTGGAGGAGAAGGAGGAGAGGGAGGAGAGCAAAGATGATCATAAGAATGAGGTGAGCAAAGATGCGCAAAGGCAGAAAAGGGCCTTCAACTATTCGCATGAAGCAAATCTACTTGAATTTTTAAAGAGAGAAGGCGAAGCCTATGAGTTGCCCCAGCTTAATTTTCATGTTTTTTTTTTGCTTCTCGTTAAAGATAAACTTTAGTACTGGTAATGCGATTGCATTGTGAAAGAAAAGGTGTGGAAAGGATCAGAAACAGTTGATCATGTAGCATGTATGTATTGCTGTGCACTGCAAGGTTCTGGAGTCATCAAAATCATAATAAATTTGACCGAGTCTTGGTAAAGTAACAAGCACTCACATAGAAAGCTATATATGGGACAACACACATGATGTCGGGGCTAGTACTACCTTGATTTCCTTGTCTTTCTATGCTCATTACTCAGCCAGTATACATTTTCTTCCAAAATTGTTTGGCACATGTCATTTATTTGTAATCTTGAACATTCAGTGTAAGTTTTGTTTGATTCTGTGAGAATTTTTTTTTTTTTTACCAGTACTGGAGTTTATCTTTAATTGCCATCAGTCATGCAAACATCAGCTAAAATAACCTAACGGAACTTCTGTCATGTTGTTTGGTGGAACATAAGCCGAACAGGAAATTTCTGTCTCATTAACCTGCTTCTGTCACTCATACACTGTCAAACAATGGAGCCGAAGAAAAACATCTCAATCGAAACACAATTATTATGGAAACATCAAAGTCTCAATTACATACTTGCTGTTACAGAACTGTTATACGACCATAATCAAGACATTCGACTGGTGAAAATTGAGAAATGATTGAATAAACCAAATGTAATATTAATCAGTATCGAGGGTCCCATTTTCATTGCGTTTCCTGACAAGTCATGTCAAAACTGAAACTTCAAATTTATTGAGAGTTTTGATGAGATATGACGATTAGATATCATATGTATGTAAACAACTGAACAACAACTGAACAAAATAATAAAGAAAAACAGCTGCCAAATATGATTTAATTGCGCCTATATATGGGTTACTGTCAATTGGCGGTACTCATACCGAATTACCAATCATACATTTTCCTTGATAAGATCGAAATCGAATCACAACCACTAATTTTCTAGAATAATTGGTACTAATTGTATATATTTCCTTTATTACATAAGGGATCAGGGGAAGAACAGTCGTGACATAATATAATTGACATTTTCCTTTCCTTCTGGTTCTTGTAGTTAATGGTAATGAAGATGACAATAATATTTTGACATCATTAATCCCGGCAGATATCTCCTTTATCATTGTACTTCAAGAGTTTCAGTGACTCAGATTGAGTCTTCTATATAGTTACTATGATGTTGTATCGACTTCTGTTAAATATTGTTAACAGTTGTACCCTTGTTGTCACTACTAGTAGGCTCAGTACAGACTTTTCGATATCGAGGTTTACAAGTTTTCTTTTCTCATTTCACCTCCCTAAATCGTTATTGGTAACAAATCTGCCTGAAACTTGGAAATGTACATGATTATCGGAATTACTTTAGTTTCAACGTCGTCGTAATCTTCGTCATCATTAATAATATCTCCATCATCATCATCATAATCAGCATCATCACCAGCATCATCGTCATCATCATTACCATCATCATCACCATCTTCGTCATCATCACTTTGGAGTTTGGACTTTCATAATTCATAACATAGGCAGGGGCGGATCTAGCTTTTTGCTGGGGGGGGGGGGGGGGGGTTGAACCAGTGACGAATCCAGGATCCCAAAATTTGAAAATCGCGCCGACCAATATTTGACCTAATAGGTCTACACGTTATACAATGAACATTCACAGCATATAACATATAGACCGTCTCACCATAATCCACCCTACGTTTCAAAACTCACTATCAATCCTCAGGTTTTATCAGGCCTGCTTATGGTCATTTGGTTCCATAACTTACATCAGGCTGAATGGAATTTGACAGTTTGTTTCCTGCAGGACGATCAAGCCCTGTATTGCTGCCCTTCTCAATTTCCGTGCAACATGTTGTACATCAGAGGAGGAAGCGATCGAACTTCGCACATATTGCCCTATAATTGCTTCCGAGAGGATGAAGTTTAAAAAAATACTGAGGGTAAAAATAATTTTCACCCTCCTTTACGTTCAGTCCTGTAGAGTAGAACGTGTTTGTGCATGAGTTATGTACTAGTCGTACCCAATGGACCACAAACTGTTCTTTTGACGTAAATCTTTTTTGCTTCAACGTTCAAACATCGTCAGGACGTTTTGCAGACCTCTTATATGCTCGGACAAGGGTAACAAACGTGTCATTTAGAAATGAAAATAAACCTTTTGGTCTGGTACATGTATAAATAAAGAGGGATCGCTTATTAATGTCATTGATTATTATAATAGGTGTGTGCACTTTTTCATGTTAGCTAAGTACGTTCCAGAAGGTAAGCTGAAGTTTTAGAGAAAAGCCTTACGATATTCATTAAGATGGTGTGTCCTGAAATTGAATTGAGGGGGGGGGGGGGGGGGTGATATGCATCTGCACTGTTATCAACTATCTGAGAAGTAGGATTAGGACATTATAGAAATGCTAGGGGATCTAGGGGCATGCCGCTCCCAGAAAATGAGATATATTCAGGCCAACTTTCTGCAAAACGAAGCACCCAATTTCTTTCAATGATTCTTTGATACTCATCGATTATTGTTTTCCTTCGAGGGGGGGGGGGGGGGGGGCAGCTGTATTTAACGCCTGCATCTTACTTGTTAGTAAATCAGTCAATGTGATCACAGGCTATATTATCTTAAACTCAAATAAATAAGAAAAATGCTCTTACCATTCCCTGGCAGTTGCTAATAGCAACCCGTGACTCGCTGTATTGTGAGACCGCGCCTTTGTAGAAACAATTCGTCCTCGGAGTGAACGATTCCATCGTTCCATCGTCCAAGTATCGTTCCACTTTAAACCGAGGTGCTACTAAACGCGCATCCCTCGTTACATTTAAAATCATATGAGCTCCAAAAGCATCGACTGCGAAGTGAAACTGCGAGTCGACGTCGGCATCAGCGTCATTGACGACGCCATCATTTAAGCCGTCGACGTCACGTCGTCTGCGCCGCCGCCGAAGTTCGTCTGCTCTTTTAACACGTATATAATCCAGTTCGTTTTCTTCGGCTTCAGTTGAAAGGTCGTGGCTTATAAACTCTCCATCCGGGGTCGACCGATACGGTCGGACTAAGTGATAATCGTCAAGTTTTGAGAATAAATGTTCTGTAGAGATATAAAAGAATTATATGTTAATTTGAAGAAAAAAAAGTAATTTCCACCGTACACATTGGGTGTCCATGTTTAAAATTTCAACAAATTCTATGGATCTGTCATTATGTGAATTTAAACAGAATGAAAAAAACAAACAATGAAGGCATCGTGACGTGTATGAAACCTATACATTAGTACATTCTATAATTTATAAGAAATAATTTTCTAGAAAAATATATCACACTGTTGTTCGATTTGTAGCGCGAAAGTAATAATCTCTGTTCCTTCAGGATCATTTCTTGATATCTTCAATCATTTTAATAGCCCGACACTAACATAAAAACAAAAACATGTTTAACTTGTCGTAAGTGTAATTTTTTTTTTTAAATCTTGGTTCAATTAAAAAAAAAAAAAAAAAAAAAAAATTTCTTTGAATTTAATTAAATGTTAATGTTAAAAGCAAGAAATATTACCATGTTTTGGATGAAGATTTGGCATCAATATATCAGCACCAACCTGTGAAAACGGAAAGAGAAATAAAATATGAATTTATGTGAGTTCTTTCGTTAAGAAATAACCCGATTAACACGCTTGTGGGTGGTCTGGAGTATTGGAAGAAAAGTAATATACGTAAAAATGTAAACAAAAAAGAAAAGGAGATTGAAGAATAAAGAAAAAGAAAAAAAATCAAAAATTAGATGACTACTTTCATCAAAAGTAACCCGATTATCATGATAATGAGGGGGGGGGGGGGTAGGGTATGGAAAAAACCTTGGAGAAAAAGAAAGAGTAATCTATATTTGAAAAGTTAGTGAGCAGGTGAAAGAAAAGAGTTAACTCAATTCTTAACAAGTTAATTGTTTAAACAACACAAATCTCTAGTATAGAGCAACAGTACTGTAAAGGCTCACAATGAATTCAAATTAAATCAAAAACACATTTTGTTCTTAATCATAATTATGAAAGGTACATTGCAAGAAAATTTGCACATGATTGTCATCATCAAGGTGATCGACAGCAGAAACGAAAGAACTATAGGGGAGAAAGACGGAGTGGGAGGAACTTTTTATTGACAAATGAAATGTTTCTGATGATAAATGCAAACTTTTTATTCCTCAAACATAGTGTTACAGTGTTTAATGACAAAGCTTTAACAAGAAAAAAAAAATCAAAGACACAATTCTTAGCAGCTCTGCCGTAAAAATCATCATTAATCCACTAGACCGGAACATCGATATTAATTTTCACTGCGGTTATGCCCGTATAAATGATGCTTACACCAGCAAAATATTATATATCAGGGACTGAGGGTGCAAAGAATGACGTTTGTTGTACAGAAGAGTGAGTCATATTTCCTAAGATTAGCCCATTGAACCTGCAAAACAATATCGGATATTGATCAACGAGAAGGATCATCGAAAGTAGGGAAACAATGGACATTTCTAATCAAACCCTAGGTTTATTTTGGTCCATAGTTTTCCTTCATCGTCTATTTTTATTTCCCTTCACCCTAGTGAAAATATTTCCCTGCAAACAGAGCCAAAGCAACAACGGAGCCCAATGCATGGTCAGTGCGTTTCAGGGTATACAAAATCACAGTTCAGAGAAGCACCTGTATGCCTGTTGCATACGAGGAGTCCTTCCCTGATGTAGCACTGCGTCAGTGACTGACATGCTCTTTGACGCACCATGTGAAAGGTGACATCGTACACATACTCTATGCAAAATTAACAATGCAAATACTGCCCTGATTAGCCGGTTTATGAACTGGATTGCCATCACTACCAAGTTTGCCATAACTTGTTAACGCTGTCAGTAACAAATAGCGCGACTGTCGCACCAGTCGTTGACGCAGTCTTATATAAGGCAAATTACACCTCGTGCAATAAAAATCAGTTTGCTGTTAATATAACTTTTCTTGTCTGGCTTTAATAACATGTTACCAAATTATGTGAAAACTTTTTGTTCTAAATTGTAATTTATTGCCCGAGGCTATAAGCTTCGACTGTTTTAAACAAAACTGTGTAGTTGAGGTTCCAAGGGGGTAGAACTGGACATTTTGACAGTTTAGTGCAAATCTATAAGCCTATATTTAACGTGTGATGCACGAGTTACGAATCAATGTTGCACCTGTGGATTAGCATAACCTCGAATGTGAAAAGGAGCCTGTTACCCAAGATAAACACACGATTAAACAAGATTTATCCTGTAAGTTTGTGCCGTCAAATTGAATTTTCAGGCCGAGTGGCGTCTCAATTCCCACTCAGTGGTATTGTTGTCAAACCGAGGGTCACTGGGAGGCTCCTCCTTTCTCGTATCTTGTCTGAAGATTTTCTGATGAGCAGTGACAAAGCTTAGGTGGAGGGGCGGCAAGGGGGTACCTGCCGCCAAATGAATTTTAGATTAAGGAAAGGAGAAAGTGGAAGGGCAGGGGATAAAGTGAAAGACAGAGGAGGGACAGAGTTAGTGGGAGAATTAGAGTAGAATACGACAAAATTACGACAAAAGGAATCCGAGAGGAAGATAAATATTTCTACCCTGGCCCCCTCCCAGACACTCCCTGTTCGCCCGGCTCTAGTGCTCAACATCACCCCCACACCCCTTCACGGTTGGACCCACGCTTCGCCACGGTTCATGCAGTACAATCATCATGACATTTTGGACAAGACGTCCAATTAAGTTTGTCATTCCTAGTCCAGACCCTATCCATAATGGGATGGTGCTCTAGACGTCAAAGTTCTTTTTTTGCGGACTTGAACCAAGTTGAGAAACTATCTTTCTTTTAAGGCGAATCGAATATTTACCAATCGTTGAGCCTGAAATATGCCGATTGCCCTTTAACTTTGCTGAAAGCATCAGGTGCCCCCCCCCCCCCAAGAACGCCACAACTGCCATTGACAACTCAATCTATTTTCATCAAGAAGCCCGAAAGGGGTGGGGGCATGACGATTCGCCCCTCACACCTAATACCTAATTAATTACCGCGTTTCATCCACAATCATTGTAAGGCCGGTGACCCAGCCCCTTACACCGCTCCTGCCTTCTCAGGACTGGTACTGCTTCAACAATATGCATGCGCAAACCATGGAGATACCAATAATAACTCCTTGCATAAATTTTCAACTTGTCTGTGTAACCTGTCGCGATGAGCCGATGGCATCGCTCCAAGCGCACGTCATCATCAATTTCTTCATAAGGTAATCCAGCGAGCGGTGGAAATTGACCGACTATAAAGATGTGATTGGAACAGGAGAATATAAATCGTTCACGTATCCTATTGAAATAAAAAATAAATCTTCGAAAATGTATCCCTTTTCTTATTGTCCTATGTCTAAGCACATCAGCTACAATACAAAACAAGACCCCCACCCCCCAAAAAAAAGTCTTTCCAAATGATCTGTTCATGGTGGCCTGGCGTCATTTTACTTCATTTTTTTAAAATATATAATACTTCTATTTCTTTATTTCGAATGAAATATACAGCTCCTTGTCCTATAATTATGGGCAGCGGTGAGCTTTTATACGGGTATTCCTTCTATACGTGTATTCAATTGTTTTGTAAAAATATTCATATTGTAAGTCCAACATACAACTCTTGAAAATATTGTTGAAAAATCATTCGGAAAGTTGATTGCAAACAAGATTACCTCACCATACCACCACGAAAGTTATTGTTCTTCGCATTATCATCATCATCATCATCATTAACAAAACCATTTTCAGTGTCACCACCATTATTATTGCTGTTGTTGCTGTTATCATTATCGTGATCATTATTAGCATCAGCATTGTTACTATTATTGTTGCCATTATCATTATTATTATCATCATCATCGTCATTATCATACCTAAAAGCAAAAAAGAGAGACCCTTTAATGAAGGGGTGTGGTCCCCGTCACGTATCATGAGTCAACTCTCGCTTTATTTCCCACACCACCGCATCCCACACCATCCACCCACATAATCTTGAATAACATCTTTTGGTAAAATATCCTAAAACCAGATGGAAGAAGGGATATCGCTGAAGGCCGTATAACTCCACCGAGAGTTTAGTCACGAATGAAGAAGAAGAAAACAAATTTTGAACTAATTTTGCAGATGCTCGCTGAAGGAAATCACGTTTTCTCATTTTTAAGTAACTTGCAAAATTTTCGAATTATCTTTGGAAGTTTGTTGATTTTATACAAAGAGGAGAAAGGAGGGGGGGGGGCGAGTTGCTCATACTAAATTTCTTCAAACACAAACGTTAACATTTATTTTAAAAAGAAGGTGATCGATAATCTTGGACACGAAAACGTGTTCTCTGAAAGCTCCATGTAGCACCTATTATACAACTCCTCATTTCTTTGATAAAAGAAATCATCCTAATTCTTATATAGCTAGAAAATAAATTACTGGTAAATTGTTCCCCCGGAACATTTGCAACTATTATCTTGCTTAACTTTCGCGGTGACACTAATACGGTAACTCCGGTTCTTTACAAATTTGCTTATGACGCAAATACGTCATCGATAATATCAAACAAGAATTATCTTATTATTTTCCATGAATGATAATGATTTCATTCATTGTACAAGAGTCCACACATCCTTCTTCTGACTCACTCCACATTCCTTATCCCAAAATGACAATTTTGTTCATTGATAACTCATAAAATATGGGTTTTACTGAGAAATTCGACCCTAGGAAGATTTAGCCGAAATAAAAGGTACCCTTGTTAAAATCCGCTATTACTCATACATGTAAACTGCGAAGAACGAGATCAATGTTGATTTGGGAAATGTGGTCAACCAGACGGCACCTGAAGTTAAGACGAGACAATCTGAAACCCGGATTGTATTTGGCATCATGTTGTGCAAAGCGGTTGCCATCTTGACTATTGCGACTCAAGTCAGGAATGAAATAATTCGTTTCCGACGAGTCTCTTTTACTCAATAAGAGAAATTATACCCATCTTCAGAATATGAAGATTACATTATCATGACGCGGATTGGTTTTGGTGAATTTTCTTCAAATCCAACATTTATTGCACTTCTCAAGCTGTCATGCCTCGAATAGAGGAAACAGGTGTTAACAGGAAAACACTATATTTAGATTTAATCAATTAAGAAGTGGGATTGTTCAAATAATCTTATCTTTTCTGTTCTACTCTAAACCTTGTTAGCATTGATTGATATCCTTCTTTCTCAAGCGTCGATGATAAATTGATCAGAGTATAATAAACCACAATAAGAACGAAATAAAATAACAATTTCGGAGTAACTTCATAGCGGTTTAAAAGAGAACTCAATTTCTTCGCAACAAGGATTATTACAAGTCGATCTGTAGATAAGGTGAAATCTAATTGACTGCAATCGACAGTTTCTTTATTTAAATCTCAAGTCATGCCGTGATTCCCTTTAAGAAATGTGCTTGCACTTTTCTCTTTCCTTGAATGGAGAAGATGACAATGGGAGAACATCATGCTTCCAATATAATGTTCTGACGTCGAAATGAGGTCATGGATATATTGGATT